TTTTGGTTCATCTATTTGGTGAGGTCTTTCCTCTTGTTTATTTGTCATTATTTGGAATTCACCTAAAGATAGTTTTGTGAGACCATTAGTGTCTCGTTTGTAATCGTTTGGAACTTATTTGGTTGATAGTGGAATCAGATTTCGATCTCGTGAACGTACCTCACATTGAGGGAACCATATAAAAATTCTTGTGTTGCTTCTGATTTAATTTTTCCACATTAGTTTTTATTCCTATTGATTGATTTACTTGTGGGGAATCACATATTTTCCATAACAAAATGTTACTAGTTTAATCAATCAAATATAAAAAATGTTAGAAACTTTAAATAAATTATCAGCCACCCTTTCAGTATGAGTGAATGTAGTGATTTTTCTGAATTAGTTCAAGGAGTTTATATACCTCAATATCGAGGTTTTTCAAAAAAATTCTACTAGAAACATAGTATTAATGAATTATCAAAAGGTCAAAATTGAATTATTTAATATTTTTAAAATTTTGAATGAAAAAAATTATTTAGGCCTCGTTTGGGAACCCCCGTTTAGTCAAAAAGTAAAAAAATTAATAAAAAAGGCCAAAAAGCCAAAAACCCATACAAAAAAGTCAAAGATTCTCTTTTCTCTCTACTTTTTGCACATCTTTTTGTAAAAAGTCAAAAAATCGTCCCAAACATACTAGTTTTTTTTAGCTCATATTTTAGCCAAATAGCCAAAAAGTTACTAAATTAGCCTGTTCCCAAACGAGGCCTAGTTATAGTAATGATTAGAATATCAATGCATTATTGCACATTATATAGATAATGATTGGAAATTGAATAAACGAATAATTTCATTTAAATTAGTTGAACTTTCATATAATGGTCATTCACTTGGGATAACAATAAAAAATACATTATAATCAAACTATATCATATCTTAAATTAACTTTACCATTACCTTTTAGTGGTACTTTATTTCATATTTGTTGTTATACCTATGTTTTAAATTTGATGGTTAAAAAAGTTATGAGTCAGTATGATGATTCTATAATAGCAATAAGAAATACGATTATTACAATTAATAATTTTGTTAAATGGCTTGATGTGTAGAAAATTATGTCAACAAAAACAAATGAAATGCAGAAAATTACCTTCAGACGTAGAAATTAGGTGAAATTTAACATACAATATGTTAAATGTAACTTTAAAACAAAGAAGAGTTAGTAAATTTATTTTTTTAATTGATGGCAATTAGAGGAATTACCCGAACAAGATGATTGGGCCCACGTAACCTTATATAAAGATTTTTTTAAATTTTTTTGATCAATCAACAAAAAGATCTTCATATATATATGCACCTACTTTTATATTTGTTTTACATCAATTAACAAAAATAATGATGATTTTCACAAATTAGTTTCAAATGAAATATATTATGACATTACTGTTTCAATGAAGGTAAAATTTAATAAATATTTTGACCCATTACCATACATTTTTGGTTTAGCGATTGTAATGGATCCTAGGTGTAAAGAAATTAGTTTACAAATTTTTTTACAACTTATTTTTGGCAACGAAGATCAATTTGCCTCTATTATTGAAACACTCAAACAATTATTGTTTGAGAAACATAAGAATGTTGTAGTTGTAATTAGACCACTTGCACACACTATAACAATCTCATCTTGTGGTGGAGGATTTGATATTTGATCACAGATAAAAAAATAGAAGAATATCTCAAAATGCAAGCACTTATTGTTCTAAGTGACAATGTTATTTGTATCAAACTTGTGTTGATGAAAGTGAGGAAGAAGATTTTGATATTTTAGATTGATGGAAACAACTTGAACATGTATGACATATGCTTGCACAGATGATTCGTGATATATTAATCATTTATTTTTTTACAAAAGCTTCTAAAATAGTTTTTAGTGCAAGTGAATGACTGTTGAGCGATTATTGTTGTAGACTTATACCCGAAATGGTTAATACACTGATGATAACAAGAAATTATTTGTATGCAACTGAAAGAAAACAAAATGTTAACGAGAAAATAAGGATTCAAGTTGATTTGGATGCTATCCCAATGGGCAATCCGAATAAATTGTCTAACTTCAATGATTGATGAATAATTTTTCTTTTTAGTATGTAATTTCATAATATTTTTTATTCTTTGAGGTACAGTATAATGTAAATGATTAGTAAACTTGTAGGTTTCAACCTAGCTGGGATGTACTTGATCTATAATGTCATAATTTCTCCACCGTCTATCATAAATTTGCAATATTTCATTTCATTTTTCAACATTATTATTTACATTTATCATTTTTTATTTCAACTGTGTACTTAAGTTGGTAAAGAAAAATAAAATAAATCAACCTTGGGCCCGGGCCCGGCCAAAAGCCGAAGGACCCCTAGGCTAACCCGTCTTGAATTTGGCTGAAGCCTGATCGGGTCTGCACTGGCCAATTTTACATTCTTGGTGCTAATAAATAGCTATTGTTAAAAGTTAGAGAGATTATTTTGATGATTTTGAAATAATTTTTCATACCATTTATGTTGTGTCATTTGTCCATTTTTTTTTAAAAAAACCCACACAAATATAATTTTCACAAAAGTTGGCCACTTCCTCGGGTAACCAATGACAATAACAACACACAAAGGACTATACTCACCTGCTAGCAATTGCCGCCCACTCATTTCCTTGAAGTCTAGAATCCACATAGACAAAAGTATTATTGACTACTTTTGTGGACAAAGAAAAATAATAAGATAAAAAGGAAAGAAATTGGGTGTTTGGCCCTACTATTATATTATTAATTATTTTTAAATTATACATAATTGTCTCAAGTTTTGTTTTAAAAAAAAAATTAAGTGGAGTGTCATCTACGTTTAAAAATAAAAATAAGTAATTGTCCTTCTATATCTGTAAAAACATGAGGGTCAAATTATAAAATATATATAATAAAAGAAATTTATTTCTCATAACTAGTTTGAATTAAAATCACTAGCTTGCGAAGAAGAAAAAAGACGAATAATATCAATTATTTGATCACATTATTTGAGTATACATTATTTAAAATTTTAATATCAATTCTATTATAAATGTTTTTAACATACTTTAGATTGTCTTACATTTATTGTCTTTTATAACTCAATCAATGTGGATTAAAATGAGTATACATTATTTAAAATTTTAATATCAATTCTATTATAAATGTTTTTAACATACTTTAGATTGTCTTACATTTATTGTCTTTTATAACTCAATCAATGTGGATTAAAATGAGTATACATTATTTAAAATTTTAATATCAATTCTATTATAAATGTTTTTAACATACTTTAGATTGTCTTACATTTATTGTCTTTTATAACTCAATCAATGTGGATTAAAAAAAAAACAAAAAAACTCTTATATATATATATATATTCATATTATTTTTCAATTTCTATGCCTGAAAAAATTGATATTTCATTTCATCCATTTTTTCCTTGTAAATTTTTGTTAGTATTAATGTTCGACCCTCAACGTTGAAATCTTAACTCCATTAAATTTGAATCACGTATTATTTTTATTTTTGTAATTTTATTCATAAATATTTTTTTTTTCACTATCTAGAAGCATTGATGTGAATAGGCCAACTACTCCTCCAATGGCTAAAAGGTGAGGTAGTTGGTCTTCCTTCAAGTTGTCAAATCCATTATTATATCAGCAATTCTTTAAATAAAAACCTACAATATTGTAACCAAACTCTGAATGCATATATGATCATAGCAAGCTAATCATATGTGTTACATGTATTGAGTGAAGCCAAAAAAAGAAGAAAAAAAATAGTGAAATATATGGCAGAAGTTGCAGTATGCTCAACTATCAACAATTTGGAGGCATTGTTAGTGCATGATGAACCAAAATTGTTGAGCAAGGTCCGCAGAGAAGTTTCCACAATCAAATCTGAATTGGAGAGCATAAAATCAATACTAAAAGATGCAGATTGGAGGGCTGAAACAGGAAACGAAAACGCAAAAACTTGGGTGAAACAAGTTCGAGAGTTGGCTCAACAGATTGAGGATGTCTTCGACCAATACACGATTCACTTGTCAGAACGTCGTCAGCGTCGCGGCTTCATCAATTTTCTCAACAAAGTCGCTCACTCGATCGTTAAACTAAAGCCGCAACATGGCATAGCCTCTAAGATTCAAGAAATTAAACAAACCATTGTTGAGATCAAGAAAAAGGCTAGTGGGTATGATTCATCAAACAGTGAAACTGATCAAGATGATCCTCGTGTCGCTTCACTTTTCGTGGAGGAAGATGAAGTTGTGGGTATTGAATACACCAGAGAAGAATTGGTTGACATGTTGGTAAGCGGAGAGACAAATCGGATGGTGATCTCGCTAGTAGGTATGGGCGGTGTTGGAAAGACCACTCTTGCTAAGAAAGTTCATGACAATCAAAAAGTGCTTGCGCACTTTGATTGTCGCGCTTGGATCATTGTTTCTCAATCATACAAGGTAGAGGAGATCCTCAGAACGATGATAAAGCAGCTATACAAATCAAGAAATGAGCCTCCACCTCCGGGAATCGATGCTATGGACCAAAACTCGCTCATTGACAACGTCAGAGAATATTTACTTCAAAAGAGGTATGAAATTGTTTTTGGCGATGTCTGGAGAACAGACTTTTGGAGATTCATAAAACATGCTTTACCGAAAACTAGCAAAGGAAGTAGGGTAATTATAACCACGCGCAACGAAGAAGTTGCTAGATTTTGCAAAGAATCTTCACTTGATTATGTCTATGAGATTCAGTCCCTACCTGAAAACGAGGCTTGGAGACTCTTTTGTATGAAAGCCTTCCAATGGGACTTTGGGGGTGTTTGTCCCTCCGAATTGGAGAAAGTGTCTCGCAAAATTGTTAGAAAATGTGAAGGATTACCCCTTGCAATTGTGACAATAGGCGGTCTGTTGTCCACTAAAAATAGGATTGTATCCGAATGGCAAAAATTCTACGATAGCCTTGGTTCTGAGTTAGAAAGGAATCCTAATCTTACAAGCATCAAAAAAATTGTGTTGCTTAGTTACCACAATTTGCCTTACTTCCTCAAACCATGTTTCTTGTACTTGGGTATAATCCCCGAGGATTATTCCATCAATTGTGGAAGACTAGTTCGACTTTGGATGGCTGAGGGTTTCATTGAAGAACAAAAAGGCAAAACATTGGAAGAAGTTGCAGAAGAATACTTGATTGAGCTCATCCTTAGAAACTTGGTTCAAGTGTCAAGTACAAAAATTAATGGAAGAGTTAAGAATTGTCGGGTTCATGATGTAGTGCGTGAGATCATCCTCTCAAAGTCCGAGGAGTTGAGTTTCTGCCATGTTTTAGCAGACGAGGATTCAAGTCCCAATAATCAAAGTCGACGACTATCAATGCATATGAAGAACAGAATGGATAAGGTTCTGGAAAGCACACATATTTCCCGAATTCGTTCTTTTTTTCTTTTTGCAGTGGGAGAGCTGCCAAACAAGTCCTTGTTGGGTGAACTAGCTGCAAATTTCAAGCTTTTAAAAGTACTAGATCTTCAAGATGCTCCTCTAGATCAACTACATGAAGAAGTGGGGAATCTACTTCATTTGCGATACCTAAGTGTGAAGAATACAAGTGTGAAGACAATTCCAAAGTCTATTGGTAAGCTACAAAACCTGCAAACTTTGAATTTGAAATACTCTCTCGTGTTTGAGCTACCAATCGAGATCAATAGGCTCCATAAATTGCGACATCTTCTAAGCATTTCTTTTAACTATGATATTGATATAAGTTTGGATAGTATAAGAGGAGTGAAGATAAGAGGAGGGATCGGGCATTTAGAACAGTTGCAAAAGTTGTGGGTTGTGGAGGCACTTGAAGAAGAAGAAGAATGGGGCAACCTTGTTTTCAAAGAGCTGGAAAATTTGAGGCAGTTGAGGAAGTTTGGCGTTTCCAAAGTGAGAAGAGAAAATGGGAGGGTTCTTTGTGCTGCCATTGAGAAGATGAAACACCTTAGGGTTTTGGGGATACGGGCTAAAAGTGAAGATGAGATTATGGATTTACATTCTATTTCTTCACCACCTGAATATCTTCAACGTCTCTACTTGGGGGGATATTTATTGACTTTGCCAGATTGGATCCCAAAACTACAACATCTACTCGCAATACGTCTACACTGGACAGGTTTGACCGCAAATGCAATAAAATCCCTTCAAGTGTTGCCTAATTTACTAAAGCTTGATATCTATCAGGGTTATGAGGGACAGAGATTGCATTTTGAGGTTGGAGGGTTTCAAAAACTTAAGGTGTTATATCTACAAGGCTTGAAGCGATTGAATTCCATGGTAATAGAGGATGGAGCGTTGCCTCTTCTTGAAGAAATATGGATTGGGCCTAGCCCGCAACTGAAGGAGGTACCCTCTGGCTTCCACCACCTCAAAAGACTCGCAGCTCTTTCCTTTTATGATATGCCAATGGAGTTCTTAGATAGAATGCAACCGGACGAAGGAGAAGACTATTGGATTATTCAGCATATACCCGATATCAAGTTCTCGTTCAAGTCTAGAGGATTGTACTACAAAACCTATAGTCTTCGAGATTTCCAAGTCACACGTGAAAGACAGAGGTTTGCTCCCTAAATTTTCATGCTACACAATTAATTTCTCAGTTCATGAATAATTTTTCTCGACATGTTTTGATATTATAGGTGAACTTGATTTAGCCACTATAAATCCAATTTAGGGAACATAATTCATTCTTGGATTTGAAACTTGGATGAACTCCAATTCAGATTCCACGATGCTAAACACAACAAATTTCTTTTGTCAAGGTTTCTCTCTAGAACATTTAAAAGTATTTTCTCTAAATACTCTGAAATCTGAAACAATTTTTTTAGTATTTTTAATATGATATGTTTTTTATTTTCATTTTAGTTCTTTCCATTGTTAATGTTTGTTGCATTTTTTGTCATAGGAAATATTGATGTGCATCGAAGTTGACAGATTCTGGTCTTATGCCAACACAGAAGGTTGAAGGAAATTCAATTACAGTGTGAAAAGAGAAAAAAATGGCATCTCCTTCCCTCCCTCCAAAATCAACATGGTTCTTTCTTATGTTTTATTATTATTGTTGTTGTTGACCAAGACAACATGTGTGGATTTCTCTTAGTATGCCTTGTTATTTTTAATAACTATGTGATGTTTGATTTAGACAAATATAATAAGGTCATCCAGTCCTTTGTTGTAACATCATTGCACAGTGTTCTATCTCTTTTTCTGATCTTTTATTCTGCAATCATTCTAAGTATTTTTTTTTTGTTTAACAATATCTGTAGTTCACACAAATAATTCATCTAGTTTCAATCGACTTTAGGAGATGCATTGATCAATTGTGAATTTTTATCATAACCAAATTGGTTCTACGTTACTTCTCTTTTTTCTAATTATTCACACAACAGGATTCTGGCTAGTGTCATGACATAAAGAGTATACTGTTATATCATTCTAGCTGGTGTCATGGCTTAAGAGTGCAATCTCAGAATTTATTAGGAGGAAAAAAAGACTTTTAGCAATATTAAGGGCAAGATAGGTTTTGGAAAGTTAAATTCTGAAGCTTGAAAATGCAGATTGCAGAAGACAAATAAAAAGTGCTGTAGTTCAAAGAAATGAAAAATATGCATCTTGGAAATTTATTATTAGAATAGAAATTTGTGTACCATAGGTCATTGTGTAACTTTTTTTAATGACATCTAAAGGGAATAGAGTGAAGTTTTGGAAACAAAGTGGTGTTGAGAAGGGGCTCTTGATAGAGCCTTTCTTGCTATTTTCTTCTTCTTGTTGACAATTAAGAGTCATAGATACGGGCACGTGACACAATAGCTCTTAAAATATACAAGACATGACATGTAGGGAGATACAAAATGAATAGCTTAGATAGTTATATGTCATTTATATGAATATCTTATTCATTGATAAATACAGACTAACAAAACTCTTAGCTCTCAAGGCTACAAGGAGGGATTAATTTGTATAAATCTACTTTGTTTTTCATTTATCATTGTGTGACTAGGTACTTATCTTACAAAAATAAATCATTATATGCTTGTCCAACTGTTCAAAGTTTGTCCAAATCTTAAAAAATAAACAAATAATACGACACATGTTGGGTAGCAACTGAGTGTCGACACTCCACCTTGGCCACGTTTGTTTGGCGGATTAGGTTGGATGAGATTGTTAGTGAAGAGATTGTTAATGTAAGGATTGCTAATGAGGGGATTAAGTAAAAGCGTGTTTGTTTTGATGATAGTATGGGAGATGATTAGTGATGAGATTGTTAAATTATTTTTATATAAAATAAATAAATAAATTATTTCTATATTAAAAAAAATTAAAACAAATAGATACACTTGGTAAAAATAAAATAAATTTTTTATATAAAATAGACTCAATTCCCTCACTATTTTGCTAATCCCACTCAAAATCTAGCCAAGCTAATTCCCTTATGTGCTGGTATTCATATAGTCCCCTTCTATTTTTGTCAACCAAACATGGGCTATGTAGGGCCTACAGGATTGGTAGTCCAATCCCCCCGCCTATGGAGCCAAACAAACATGACCTAGGAGTGTTTGTGCTTCTTAGGTTTGATAAAGAAGCCTTGTTGGTAGCTTATTTTAGGGGTGTGGGTAGAGTTGTCTTTTGAGATGTTGGGCTGAAGAGGAATTTGCAAAAAACGGATTGGGTCTTTCATAGAGATGTGGCTTATTTAGGAGTATTTTACAAGGAGACCTTCACAATAGTAGAATGAAGCTACGAACCATAGATACGGACTTATGGACACGTGAGATACGAAATGCAAAGGACATGTGCTAAATATATAATTTTATAATTTTATTATATGTTATATATTTGAATATTATATATTTATTCTCATTAAATTTATTAACTTTGGGTATGTTACTCTAATGATTTAAATAATTATAATAAATAAATAGGACAGTGTGTGTCCCCAACGTCACTTCCTCCTGTGTCTGACATCCGTATGTAACCTCCGAAGAGGTGTTCGTACTTCATAAATGCCTCTATATAGACTTAAGGTAGTAGTATTATTATTGTTTTGGTTATTTAGCCTATTTTGTATAGTTGGTTGTCAAGGAAGGTTATGGCTAACATAGATAATATTTTGTGAATTATTTTTACTTATAAAAGTTTTAGGACTTTTTTTTGTTTATTTTGTGAGAAATTATCAAATGTTCTCAGAGTAATACTCCATGCTAAGTGTATGCGCGGTGCGGTTTGATGCTATTTGACGATAAAATTATAATCAAATCGTGGATAACAGATTGATAACTTTGCTACCCGTAATCAAACTGCGGTTTGAGCGGTTTCAACCTGTTAATTGATTAGTATAATATATATGAAAAATATTATGTAAAATAATCTGTTAAATTTAATAAATTCAGTACCTGAATTTCTGTCATCCCCACCCCCAAACCCCTTTCTTCCTTTCCTCAAGCAGCATCTACAACAACAAAATCAACCAAACACATGCCAAATAATATATGTATATTTATACATATGTATGTATCTATTAGAAAAAAAAGAAAAAAGAAAAGAAAAAGGGAGATGGAGAGAGAGAGTGACAAGAGTTTAATATTGAGCTAGACCAAAATCTTACCATTGCAAAGCAGAGTCATTGAAATGGATACTCAGTGACTCTCTTTTGCGTATTCATCTTTATTTGTAGAATGATTATGTGTGGTAGTCATATTCATCTTTATTTGTCATTCATCTATAGAAAATCACAAATCAATAGGAAGATCCAATAAAAAGATGACAAATCAACTGAATTTGGAAAACACATGCCTTGAAATCAATAGAGGGGCGTGTGAGAGAGGTGAAAGCAACTGTCGGTGAACTTACACTCGGTTTGGACTGAGTAATTTGGTGAACATAATGAAAAGGGGAAATTACGCTGACACCCTCTGAGATTTAAGTTTATTACAATTCTTCCTTCATCTTTTGGAAATTATATCTTTTCCTCTGAGTTTAAAGTTTCATTACAGATTTTCCCTTCAGCAATTTTTTTTTTTTTTAAATACCAATTTTTCCCTCATTTGGTAAATTACATTGACACCTCTCATATTTTAGAAATTACAATCCCCTCCCTAGGTTTAAAGTAGCATTACCAATTGCCCCCTCGGTTAGTATTAGTTGAAAAAAAATTAATTGAAAAAAAATTTTGTTAGTAAAATTTTTAAATTTATGTTTAAAAACTAACGTAAGCTCATTTTTTGAATTTACGTTTTTTCCTCAAATTTATAAACTGAGACAACCATTTATAAAACAAAAAAATTATCAAACAAGTTTTTATGACAATTTTTTAAAAGTTTTGTAAATATAAATTGAAACCTAAAAACGAAATGGTTATTAAACAGGCTCGAAATGGTTACTAAACAGGCTTCAGATGATAAAAATGTCGTAAAATTAACAAATAATTAAATAAGTTATCAACGTAAGAAATTACTTATGAAAAGATTCGTAGGCTATGCATGGTTTGATTGTTAGAATTTGTTTTAAAGAAATTAAAAATTAATTTGGTTAAGAAATAAAAAATAAAAAATAATTATCATTTTTATATAATTTTTATCTTTCGAGTGGTTAGAAATAATTTTTTACAAATTAAATTGAAACAACTATACGTATGTATATAGCCTACCCAAAAGTTAAAATGATAATTATTTTTTACCCTTAAATGATAATTATTTTTTATTTTTTATTTCTTAACCAAATTAATTTTTAATTTTTTAAAAAAAAATTCTAAAAATCAAACCATACATAATCTAAGAATCTTTTGATAAGTCATTTCTTACGTTGGTAACTTATTTAATTATTTGTTAATTTTATCATATTTTTACCATCTGAGGCCTGTGTGGTAACCATTTCGTTTTCAATTTTTAATTTATATTTACAAAAATTTTAAAAACTGTCATAAAAATTTCTTTGATAATTTTTTTGGTTTATAAATGGTTGTCTCAATTTGTAAATTTGAGAAAAAACGTAAATTCAAAAAATGAGTTTACGTTGATTTTTAAACAAAAATTTAAAAATTTTACTAACAATTTTTTTGTTCAATTATTTTTTTTTTCAAATAAATTTTTTTCCAATTAATTTTTTTTTTCAATGAATTTTTTTCCAACTAATACTAACCAAGGGGGCAATTGGTAATGCTACTTTAAACCTTGGGGAGGAGATTGTAATTTCTAAAATGTGAGGGTTGTCAATAAAATTTACCCAATGAGGGCAAAATTGGTATTTTTAAAAAATAAATTGCTGAAGGGGGGAATCTGTAATGAAACTTTAAACCTCAGGGGGAGATGTAATTTTCAAAAGGTGAGGGAGAAATTGTAATAAACCTAAACCTCAGGGGGTGTCAGTGTAATTTAGCCTAATGAAAAAGAGAAGGGACGCTTCCATGGAGGTCCTAGTAGATGAATTTATTATCCAATTGGTTTTATGATAATTAATGATATTTTTCATCAAATATTATTAAAAGACGTTATTAATTGTTAATTTTCAACGATAGTTAGAAAATTTTGTCACAAAAAATATTACTAATTATAAGTTGTAGCGATAGTTTTAAAAAATCGTTACAAAAAAGTGTTGCTAATTTTTAACTTTCAGTGATAGTTTAAAAAATTTGTCACAAAAAGCGTCACTAATTGTAAATTTTAGCGACAATTTATAAAAATTATAACAAAAAAAGTTACTAATTATCAATTTTTAGCGACACACAAAAAATTATTTTTAGGAACGATTTTACTAAGAAATTTTTTTTTATACCAAAAGTGGTAAGATTTAATAAGGAACATGTCCATTAGTTATAAAATATTTATAATATTGAGATTATCCCTTAAAATATAAAAGAAAAAAAAATAAATCTTGTGTATATTACTTTCTTACTTATCTAAACATGATAATGAGAAAATGTAACTACTTTTTTTTTTTTTTTTTTGAAATTTCATTTTGCCTCCTAAACTATATCCCTCTAATCAATTTCATACCTGAACTTTTGATATTGTCAATTTACCCCCTCTCTTATTTAAATCGTGATTAATTTTCCCCCCGTCGTCATATTTAAATGCAAAAAGTTAAAAAAAAATTACAATTTGGTCCCTAATTTTAAATTATAGATCCAAACTCGCAATTTCTATTCTCCTCTCTCACCCAAACTACCCGCTCTCCTCTCTCAACCAAACAATCATCACCACCACACCATTGCAATCATTAGTTGCCACCGCCACCACACACTCTAGATTCATCATCCTCTTACCCACAAATCATCACCAAATTTCATCACCAACAACATGAAGTGTTCAAGATCTAAAATCTTCAAACCTAGATTAATGGCTTAAGCAATTACTCAAATTTTATGAAGCAATTTCAATATTAGAAGGTGTCATTTTTAGAAAATGGCTCTATTAAGTCAAATATTTTAGTTGAATTGGGTTTTTGTTCTTTGTTAGGAATCAAAATGAAAATTTTCTATATATCTATATCTATATCTAGAAAAAAAAAAGAAAAGAATTTGTTCACGTATGTATATCTATATGTATCAATTAAATAGGTTTGAAAATTAATTGAATTGAATTAGTTTATTTAGATTTGCTGAATATGAATTAGTGAGTTTCGTTATTATGTATGATTGATTGTGAATCGAAAGAGAGAAAGAGACTCACAACTAGAATGCAGAGGTTGTGGAGGGACTAGTGAGCGGCTAGAGGAGCTGAAAAGGCGCCAAGAGTGGCGGCCGACGTTGGGGAGTGACTGGGGTAGTTGTTAGAGGTGGTGGCAGCAACAAGAATAGGAGTTGACGGTGCTAAATACATGTGTAGAATTTTAAGGTTGTCTTTTTCTTAATTTGGCTTATGATTGTGTTTTGTCGGTTGTAGCATGCAGCTTTATAAATTGTTCAATTGGATTTCATGTATCTTCAATTCATTTAAATGAGGGGTATTATTGACACCATAATTTAATTTTTCTGTCCATGGTGCCTTGTTGATTGGGGCCAAATATAATTTAATTGATTGTGGCCTATCAATTATGGTTTGTTGAATTAGACCATAAACTATTTTTAAATAATGAACTTGGCCACATTTATTACTTTTATTATTAGTATAATTTTGATCATTATTATTAAGACAAATTTCACTTTACCTTATGTAGTTTGAGCCATATACAATTTGTCCCTTAACATTTAGAAATGATCACATAACGCCATGTGGTTTGCGGACTAAAACGCACAATTAATTTATCTGTTCAAGATAACACATTGCGAGAGTCATGCGCTTTTAGGGAGAGTAACACTATTTTTAAGACGAAAATGCCCTTGGCACAAATTTATAAACAATGCCATTCAATTATTTCTCTCTACTCTTTTCATCCTGGCCATTAGCACCTTCTCTTCTTTTCCTTTTTTATCTTTTCCTTTTCTCTTCTTCTTTTATTTTTTCTAGCTTCCCCCATGATCAAACCACTTCCACTGCATAATCACTTCACCAACCCATATACGCTGCACCATTGTTGAGAAATTGGTAGAATGCCGGAGGGGTTAACCATTAACGAAAAAAAAAAAAAATTATATGAAAACCACTAAATGCTGATAGAGCCATGGATTGTGAGACGCCAAACCTTTGTAAATCCTATTAAGGCCTTCACTTCTAAATTATTACAACAAAAGATCTAAATACCTTGTTTAATCGCAAATTTAACCCTAGAACTGAAAACATTTCGTGGATGAACTCATATATACCCTAATCGACCTCGGTAGTCTAGTAATTATTTATAACACCTAATACTAATTAATTAACCCTTAATTATAGATTGATCGTTTAAAATCCTAATTTTCGATTATCATCTTTTCATTCGATTATTCATCTTTCGATTCAAAGCGTAGTGACTTAAACCGAATTGTTTTCCGTAACCCTAATTTAAATAAATTCTAAAATTAAATTAGATATTCTAATTCATAAATTTGAGCCCTAGCCCTCACACTTTAATTGAATTACACTTTAGCCCCAATTCAAGTACTCAAGTTGTACCTTTTTCTTATCAAATCTTTTTGCACACAAAATCTACACTTATATATATGAATTTGTACGTAAAATAAAAGGAAAAATCCCCTCAAAACCTCATGTAAAGGACCGGCCACCCTAGGGGGAAATCCTTGTGTACTTTTTGGAACATGGATGCTTTATTTCATGAAGCAATTTTGACTAAATCCCTAAATCATGGAGAAGTGTTTGTACTAGTTTTCAATCTAGTTCTATTTTGACCAAACTAAGACTAGATCATATTTTAAACCATAATTAACCTTCTTAATAAACCTCCATTTCATTCCAATCAAATACAAATTCTTTCCATCCAATTCCAACCAAGGACATTTTAAACTTTTCACTATAATTTTTCTGTAAATAGAATCTCTCCCCTAGCATTTTTGCGCAGACACACACACACACACACACACACACACAAACTCATATAATTCGTCTAGAGAGGGGGAGAAAAGAGCAAGAGTGAGCTTTTGGGGGGAGAAGGAAGAAAAAGAGAAAAAGCTTGCACAACACCAATACTAGGCAAACAAGTAAGTTGCAACACAATCTATTCTTTTATTTACTCTTCCAAATACATGGTATTATATGTTTAGAATATTATTTTCAAATGTGTATGCATGGGGTTCTTCTGTTTGAATAAAACAAGTGGGGCCTTGTTTCCTTCCATGCTTGTATTTTCTC